TCCTTAGACTGTAGGACTGCTTGGTTTTTGAATCCTAATTCTACTATTGACCAGCTGTTTGACCTCTGAAAGGTTAAAGGCTGATTAAGTCCTGTGTTCTTTAGCTATTAAAAGGAGATAATAAAAGTACCTCTCTCCAGCTGTTCTGAGTCTTACATAAATCTAGTTCATATAAAAGGATTAGTACAATGCTTGGTTATGGTAAGAATCTAGATGTCAGTTCTATGTCCGCTTAAGGGAGTAACAATTCTATTTTTTTCCACTTCTTAGAACTCTTAACTCCAGATTTTACAAAGAATTCCAGGTATATTTGCATCTTAATAAGTTAACTAGATATGTTTCTGAGTTTGTCTATAAAATAGATTTTTAAATTTTAACTATTTTTATTGAACTGTAGTTGATTTACAATGTTGTGTTAGTTTCTGGTATTCAGAATATATATTTTCTTTTTTTCAGATTATTTTTCATTATAGATTATTATAAGACTTTGAACATTCTATGAACATTCTATTCTGTGTTCTATGCTATACAGTAGGACCTTGTTATTTATCTATTTTATATAAATTAGTGTGTATCTATTAATCCCAAGATCCTAATTTATCCCTCCCTCGCTTCCCCCATTTGGTAACCATAAATTTATTTCCTGGGTCTTTGAGTCTGTTTCTTAAAGCAGATTTTTGTATTTAATTCTCCTCTCTTATCATCATTGTATAGTCAGAGATGCAGTCTTATGAACCACTGTATCAATGACAATGAACAACAGATGTTTTCAATGTTAACAGGCTATTGGCAGCATATAAATTGGCAGTTGATTGGAGACCTTAAGAACCTGGAAAAGTTTAAAAACAATGACATTGAGGGTTCCTCCCAACCCCCCAGTCTGAAGAAAATGGTGGTGAGAGCATAACAAAGGTGTTTATTTTGGGTACAGACTGTTCTTTCATTGAGCAAACACTGTGATATGTTTATAAAGACATAAGAGAAGGCGACACACCCAGAGTGGTTTATAAGCAAAATAGCTCATAGCCCTGGTATGGAAGAGGCTGTTTCTAGAACTCACAGAACAATCTCTCTAAGATTTCATTCCTGAAAGGAATAAAAGGTTTTAAGGATAAGAGACCTAGATAGTAACCGTTGTTTCTGCAGATATTTGCTGCTTTGTGTCCTTTCTAAATACGTTGCCATCTATGTGTAGACCATCATTGAAACACAAGACATTTTTCAAAGCTGAAGGTACATCAACTTACTGTAAATACCTATCATACCTATACAGTGCAAATATGTTTTTCATTAGCTTCAAATAAGCTGGAAGTTTCTGACCCATCCCTTTTGTGAATACCAGTCTAGGGACTGCCTATGTGGTAACAGAATTCCAGAAACTAGTTTTATTAATTCCTCCAATTCTCAACATGGCAGGCTAAGAATGAGGAAGTCATAGTTAATATGTGTTCCTTTGGCCTTTGGGTGATGCTCTAACATAGATTGCTGTCAAATAAATAGAGTCCAATTTAAAGACCATTTTGATCAGGCGGTTAAGAAATGATTAATTCCTTTTCACTTGGGCCATGTTGAGTGGCATCAATATTTTCTTCAGTCTTTGCTCTTTGGGTACCTTGGGCATATGAAACAACATTAGAAACATGTTTGGAATCCTGGCCCACTTGATATAGGTATTAAAAATCTAAAGGTCACATTTAGGTTAAAGGGTCCTGATTTAAGGGTCCACTAATCTTATGACTTGCAGAAACACCCCTGACTCTCGTTATCTTTTTTTCTTTGACATTTCAGCCACCTGAAATAGTAAATTATCCATATGAAAGTATCAATAGGATATTTCCTCTCCTTCCTCTTTCTCCTGTATCATGTTTGCAGATGAAAAGAAAAAGTGGTACAAAAATATTTAATGGTGAAGTCAGATTCAACAGAAGCAGAGGTGGAAGAAAGAAACCTAATTGCTCCACTTTGAACACACATGTTTTCCATACACGGCTGGTTTTCTTCAATTTTCATAATTACAATTTCAGGCAGCATCCTTCCACTCCAGGATGGTCATCCCATGTGTGGGTGACCCATTTCCTGCACACTTCCTTCCTCCGGCCCACTTCTTGGCCACATTAACATTACTTCATGTCACAAATGATACCACAGGTGGCCAGAACAGGTTTTGGAAAAGGAAAAAATGAAATAGAAACCTGTCAGAGTTGCTTTCTGTTAAATTAAAATATTTGATGAGGTGCGGCCCAAACTGTTGGCCAGAATGAGACTTCCGAAAAACATTGGCATTTTGGAAACCTGCACTCTTTCTTTCGTGATCTATTAACCAAGCATTAGCTGGCTAGGCTGTCTCTGACGAGGTCAGAGGAGCAAGCTTTTGGCAGTTGTGAACTTGGATATAAAGTGAGAATATGCCCTCACTTTTGGGGTGTAATTGATCAGCTAATATTGACTGCAATCCTAGATTAGCATTGGTTTAATGCATAGTCTTCCAGGGGCTTACAGTCAAAGGAGACAAAATTTACATACAAGTTTCAACAGTCAGTCATAGTGCAACAGAATTCAATGTGCAGGGGTTAGATTGTGTAGAACAAAATATATGTGTGTGTCTGTCTGTCTCCATTCCTAAGAGAAGAGATAGCTAACTAGGCTGAAGAATGAGGGAAAGCTTTGTGGGAGGAAGTTGTTCCCAAGCTGTACTCCAAAAACTGGGGAGCAGGGGGAGAATGGAAGTTGGGTCAGTGTGTGCAGGGCCTCAAGTGCCAGAAGGAATCAAGAAAGTAACAGAAAGTTGCAAATGTTCATAAAATATATAAGCCTCTATTTTCAACAAAATTGATATTATCTGTGTTGAAAGATGGGTATACCATTTGTTAGAATGAATCCATAAAACTACTCAAGCGTGTTTATAATGTTCAACAAAAGGCAATCTCCTTTGAAGAATAAATTGACAAATTCATGTCAGGAGATACTAGAGGTATCTGCCACTTGTAATCATGTTACCTTGAGGGATGAAATTTGGAAAGAGGTGAGCTTGCATTTTCTTTTTGTTCAGTCACTGAGTCATGTCCGACTGTTTGTCACCCCATGGATTGCAGTACACCAGGCTTCCCTGTCCTTCACTATCTCCCAGAGTTTGCTCAGACTCATGTCCATTGAGTTGATGATGCCATTCCATCCTCTGTCACCCGCCTTCTCCTCCTGCCTTCAGTCTTTACCAGCATCAGAGACTTTTCCAATGAGTTGGCTCTTCGCTTCAGGTGGCCACAGTATTGGGGCTTCAGCATTAGTCCCTCCAGTAAATATTCAGGGTTGATTTCCTTTTGATTGACTGGTTTGATCTCCTTCTGTCTAAGGGACTAAACTAGTCCCTCTGTCTAAGGACCTCTCAAGGACTTTCATTTAGGTTGTATTTAAAATAGAAGTCAAGTCATGGCTGCAAAGCCCAGGATGACCTGACTTGTGCTATCCCTTCTAACCTGCTACCTTCTGTGCCATTTCCCCTCACATCCACTAATCTTGCCTGGAAAATCCCACGGACAGAGGAGCCTGGCGAGCTGCAGTCCATGGGGTTGCAAATAGCTGGACACGACTGAGCTACTAAGCAGCTAGTAAGCACTGGCACTACCAAGACGAGCTCTGAGCTCTTGGCAAGCCAGCTCTTTCTCTTCAGCCATATCTCAACTCACATTTCACGTTCTCAAAGCTGGAGTCTTTTTTTGACCATCCTTCCGAGAGAGGTGTGTACTCAGTCCCCTCAGTATTGACTGCCATGTCACCCTCTTTACTTCCTTTAAAACATAAGGAGTGCTACAAATGGTCTTCTTTGTTTTCTTTATCATCTGTGTTTCCCGTTTAGCGAGGTCATGAAGACAGGGGACCTCATTGTCCTTGTTCACTGCCATTCCCCAGCGTGTAATAAGTGCTCAGTAAAGTATGTGTTAGATGAATCGGTGTCAGTGGGTCGCCATTATGCCTAGCGCCTACGGAGCACACGTTCTCCTCCCTTCCTGAAGAGCAGAACAGTTACAAAGCGGGAGGAAGATAGTGAATGGTGTGGACCCGGGGTGGCTTGCGTTGCCATGGCAGTAGGCTAGAGTGGCACATCCCTTTTCCTTTGTTCCTCCAACTGAGCCTTAAGAACCTGGAAAACAATACCACTCAGAGGGATATTTCACAGAGATGGACTTTGAAGGAATAATTGTGTGGGTTGGATGAATGCTAGTCAATTGTATTGGGAAGAGCTGCTGGTTTAATTCGTCTCTTGATGTGTTTGTATGTTGTAGCCATTGTGGAATGAAATCACTACACATAATGAGCTAAGGTTCACTGGCTCTCCAGCCTGCCCTTCAAAGCCCGCGCACACGTTTTGCTGTGTCTGTCCCGCTTGTGGACTGTGCACTCTTCTTCCCTCCCTTCTCAAAGTAGTGCTGAATGAGTATTCACCCCCTGCAAATTATGGTGCAATACTCATTGTTAATTTACTGAAAGAAGTTTGAGGAGATTGTTATTTTTTTCCTCTTTTATGGGTTTCTCACAGCAGTGGCACACCTCTGGCTGACACTGCACAGAAGCTGCTGAGGTTTTTCTCATTTGTAGCCAGGCTTTACTAGGTGCCTGGTTAAGAAATTATAATGTTCTTCTGTTATCTAGTTTGGGTTTATAAATGAAATGCTGCGAGACCTTTTTTATGTGTCATTAATACATGCTAACAATAAAATGGGGCACTCATTGCTCTGCTGTTGAGATACTTTATCATGTTTTTCCAAAGGATCTATGGTATTAGAGCAGGGCAGAACTGGCAGAAGAGATTTCTGTTTCACTTGCCTTACCCACATCTCTCCTTCCTCCCTTCCCCTGTTGTTGTGTTGGAGATCTGTGCTTCTACTTGAACGGACAGTCCACCAAATTCGTTAAGTTAATGTATTGTCTTAAGTAGGTACTTCTCCCATCTCCTCTCCGTTTTTGTAATCTGCAATGTCCAATTGTCCCTGTTCCTCCTCCAGCACTGCAGTGACAACACACATCCCTGCCAGTCAGACATGAACATTGAAGGAGCCTGGAAGAGAGGCTACACGGGCAAGAACATCGTGGTCACTATCCTGGACGATGGCATTGAGAGGACCCATCCGGATCTGATGCAAAACTATGTGAGTGTTCACTGTGGTCAGAATGCCTTCCCTCCTGGGCAACAGTGGAACTCATATGAGGATGATGAAAATGGGGGAAAGCATGGAGGTTTCCCAGGCGGCTCAGTGGTAAATATTCCACCTGCTGATGCAGGTGCCATCCCTGGGTCAGAAAGATCCCCTAGAGAAGGGAATGGTAACTGACTCCAGTATTCTTGCCTGGGAAGTCCCATGGACAGAGGAGCCTGCCAGTCCACAGTCCATCTACATACAGTCCATGGGGTCACGAAAGAGTCGGACACAACTTACTTACTAAACAACAACAAAAGGAGGAAAGTCACTGAAAAACAGCTCTTGTGAATTGCTCCCATCTTACAGAAGATTCACTCTCAGAGGACAGGAATCAGGAGATAATGCTATCCACTTTTGTGTGCCTTTGATGTTGTGATGACAAAAAGCAGGTGATAAGGTAGCAGAAACCCCAGCTGCTGCTGACAACAGCTGCTCCTCTCAACAATTCATCCATGCAGCCAGATAACACTCCTACTTCCCTTTATGGAGAAAGTGTACTTATAACTCTTAAGTTATTCTGTGAGTCTCTTTCTCTCTCTGCCTCACCCCTTTTAAAGGACAATAATGAATATTCTCCCCATAGTCCTCAGGAATCAGTCAGTTCCCTTGTTTAAGGAAGAACAGTGATTCCAGGACTCAGAACATACGGCGAGCCTGAGATCACAGAGCAAGTGAAAGGGTTGAGACTCAGTAAACTTTCACTGAAAACCACAGTCGTGATGCCCAGTACTCACTGGACACAGGTCGTTTCTGTCCGTGGGGCCTCTCGTTCTCCTTTACCACCGTGATATTTCCTGCCTGGAAATAGGTCGGTGACGCCTTTGTCCCCTGCTCTCCAAACATATCCCTTCCACCAGCTTCTCCTCCCTAAGTTTGGTCACAAGTCCGTAAGTATCTCCCAATATGCCATTCTCTGCGCCAAATGTGTGTTTCCTGACACCTCAGTGTTCTCCCTAAAATATTTATTTTGTTACTGAAGAGCCTCCAGTGACTCCCTAGTATTTGCAAATGTAGCTCTCTGATTCCTGTCAGGATGCTGCAGAAACTCCTGGTGGAGCCCCCTCACACCAGTGCCTTCCACATTGCCTTCTGACCTCTTTCCTGTTGACGACTATTTCCACTAGAATGCTGGTATTGCCGCAAACCCATCAAGACTTCAGTCACCTTTACCCATGTCCCGTTCTATACTTCACGACTTGGTACTTTTAATTCCAAAACTTCGGTGGTGTGAGTTTCCCTATATCGTTTTCATGTTGTTATTGAAAAAAAAAATTGAAGTTGGTGATTTTCTGTCAGCTTACAAATTTCCTTTCACAGCCTTGAAAAGACAAGCAGCTCTAAATCATGATAAAATCAGGACTCATATTGACCCTTGAGGAGGAAAGTCAGGGGCCAGGGTTTGCCCTGTGTTTATAGAAGAGCCCCACAGAAAATTCTAAGCTATAACTCAGAGGACTACGCCTCCTCAGATTTTTTTTTCTTCTCTCCTATTGGGTTGGCCAAAAGTTTCTATAGGTTTTCATCTAATATTGTATTGAAAAACCTGAACGAGCTTTTGGGTCAACCCAATATATTCATGGTCGTTAAAGGAGCAACGTCAGCAAGCCCAGCCTATCTCACTGTGCCCTGAGCTGGTGGGAGTCCTGAGAGAGCCTTGGCCCACAGGCTCCCTAATCACGTCAGTACAGAGGATTCGCCATTGTCACAGGCCTGCTGCCTCTCTCTCCTCATCGGTCCTCAGCAACTGGTGGACACAGCAGTGGCCCGGAGGAACCTCGTAGTGGATGCACTCAGAATGGACATGGCCTTTTCTTTAAGGCTGAGATTCCAAGAAAAGAATATGATGTCCTCTTGAAATCTGCTATTTCTCTCTCTCTCACCATTTATCTTCAGCCTGGGAAGGCGCTTGGTTTCTCCTCACAGTGGAATCACCAGCTGTTTGTCTCTGTTCCCATCTCTCTTCTGCTCTCTCTCTCAAATACTGCTTCAGCTTCACATGAAACCATTCAGGTAAAAATGTCCATATATTTTCTCCAGCGTTTCTTTCTCATTTGCTTAATATCACTTATTGCATGACCCTTAATCTCAAATTAGTTTTCCTTTTGTCAGTCAAACCTGCAAAGATTATCTTTGCAGATAAAATACTTCCAAGTCACTTCCTTGACACATCAGAAACTACCACTGGCTCACACAGCCCTCCAAATTCCTAACCTATGAAGACCTTCCTTCACTCAGAATCACCCAATATCACCTGATACTTTATCAACTTTAACTACTTTGCCTCTCAGCATTCAATCCTGTTGCCCTTTTTGCTTCAAAAATTCAGCCAAGAAACTTCACAAATCAATTTTTACAATGAAATATTGAAACAGTTTCTCCTAAATTAGATGATTTTCCCTAAGGTTGTAAAAGAGAGAGAGAGAGAGGAGGAACTCCAAATTCGTTTAGTTCTCATTTGAACCAAACATTTGAGTGGCTGCCCTCCCGCTGCCTCCAAGCACACACAGGTAAACTTCTGTCTCTTCACAGAATAGACTTTTAGAACTTGCAAAGGAACTTTAGTTCAGACTCCTCATTTACAGGGTAGACACTGAGGCCTGAACACTAAAATGAGTTAGCCCAGGTCGAATAAAGAACAGAACTATGGCTGTCCATGATAAGAAAGACTTCTTATCATATGCAATACAGTTTTTATAGAGCATACCTATTCTCCACTGCATTGAAATTCATCTGATTAAATACAAAGAACCTTAACCTAAATGTGATTGCATTCTTTACCTTTTTCATTTTTTTTCCTCCCTTGAAAGACAATTCTCTAGAATTTACCTGTGCAGTTAGCAGTACTGGTGCCCTTTTGGTTCTCCTAAAGTCAGAGCTGGTGAAAGTAGAGAAGAACACATTGGGTTAGATGGGATGTCTGGGTTCCAGTCTTCATTCCATAGGCAATTTGTTTCACGCCTTTCGCCAAGTTACATAACCTGTCTCAGCCTCTGTTTCCTTATGAGTAAAATTAGATGATATCACCCTTCGTGCTTGAATGAACACTAAGTTGGGCTACTTTGTATGTTTCTCTGTATGGGACTTAGAGCAGGACTTACTGTCTTTATATGTCATGTGTATTTTACTTACTTCCCCCAAACATTTCAGACTCCCTCTACCTATAGGTTATTTTCAGAAATGAGTCTTTGATAAGAAAGCAGAAAGCAAAGAGCATTCACTTTCACTAAAACTGATAACAGAAATCATAAAGCATAAGAAAATTCAAAACATCTTAAATTAGTTCTGTTTACTGTGATATAAATTTGAATGATGGAATAATCCACTAATTTTTTTGCTTAGAAATTTGAATATTTTTCACAATTAGTTAAAAAAGCAAATAAATGAAGTTTTGGTTTCAGAGAAACTTCTGTTTCATTTGAAACCTTGACATAAAGTAAAACTTTATTCTTTTGGTTGGGGCAAAAGCCCATTGGGTATAAATAAGAAGTTTTGAATTGTAGGCCCTCTCATAGTAGATAAAACATCTGAAACCAGACAAATATTGCCTCATAGAGGTCCCAAGATAACCGGATACAGTAGACTTCTAACATTCATTTTTAATTGACTTGCCAGTTATTTGTGAATGATCTTTGTCTCCAGAAATCTCTGAATTGTAGTAATGTATTTGCACACTCAAGAAATGAAGTAAGGAATAGAGAGAGTCTACGAAGACTAAATCGCTTTGCCTCTAGGTGCTCTAGCAGTACTTTGCAGAGTAGCTGGTTATTGGGGTGAAGGGTCAATGCGAGGTATGAGGGAACACTGCTGGCAAGGATGGACTGAGCACATCTTTGGTCTGTAGAGAGTATTTCTTCACCTTTATGGGACAAAATATGACACTGATTGTTATCGAACAAGGCATTCTGACACCACTGGACTGTGAGTGTTTTATTTAATCTAATTACTGTCTTGCAGAAATGTGTTTAAGGAGTCATGAGCCTTCAGGCCCATGGCTAATTAATGAACATCTGTATCCTTTCTCTCTCTCCTCTGTGACCACAGGATGCTCTGGCAAGCTATGATGTGAATGGGAATGACCTAGACCCCATGCCCCGCTACGACGCAAGCAACGAGAACAAGTAAGACCCCGGTGGGGTAGCTGGTGTGTGGCCCACACAGAGCTTTGTTTTCTGCTCTTGCCAAGGGAAATCTTTCCTTGGAAATCTTTGGTAACAAATGATCCCTAATTTGCTGTAAGATAAACAAGTGTCTTTCTGCTAAAGCTTCTGGATATAAAAACGGGTGGTCACCACAGTAAGAATGGTTGCAGAGAGAACCCGGGGGAATAACTTGAGGATGTGGCTGGGGAATATTACTCCTCATGTGGTCACTGGCCTGTGACCCACTTGTTTAGGAATAGGGATGCTCAAGGGAGAGGCAAAACAAAGTGTCCCCTGGACTTTACTCTGTCCAGTTCAACATATTGGGTTGAATGTTGTACTTGAGGTCTCTGCCAGGACTTTCCGGTTTGCTTCTTTTTTCTCTCTTCTACTCTGCAGTGATTGTATTCCTTACTAACATGCCTGCAATACTTATATGGTTTTTTCATGTATGAAACACATTATCACTCTTATCTTCCAAGCCTTAGAAGCCCATGTAGCCACATTTATACTTTCCAGTTAGTACAGTAGATTATTGGAAAGCAAAAGAAATGCACAATAATTTCTTGCTTGTGATGACCCAAATATTTGTCAAAGATTAGTAAAATGTTTCTAATCTCTGCTGCTGCTGCTAAGTCTCTTCAGTCATGTCCGACTCTGTGCGACCCCATAGACGGCAGCCCACCAGGCTCCCCCATCCCTGGGATTCTCTAGATCACATTAAATTTTGGGCTTTTACTTCAGAGTTTTTTCAGCATAATGTTGTGATTTAGATACTATCATCTGAATTTTCACTTGCCTGTTTTTGTTTGGGATCACAGAAGTTGTAAAGAGAGGTGTTTTGTTCATTTATTATGTACAGTTTCTACCCTGCATTTTTCTTAAGGGAAAATTTTCTCACCTGGTATTATTTGATTAAATAAGTCAATAAATTTAGAGAAAACCATGCAGCCTGGATAATCGTGACTGTGCATGGGGTGTTACCCTCCCCCTTCTTAACCATTTGCAAAGAAGCCTTGAAAAAGTTACCATAAAAAGTATGCTATTTGATAATATTAGCAATTGAATCAATGTTATAAATCAGATTCAGTAGTGAAAGCATTAACATACAAATTGATGTAGATAGAATTTTCAGAACTTTTGAAACAAAAAAAAAGAAAGGGCCCTGGATAGTTTTCCATCAAGCCTGGTCATAACTGTCTAGATTACACTGTTTAAAGTTATAATCAATAATTTGAGACAACGTGAGCTAATTTACTTAACCTAATTTGCAAACTAACATGAAACACTGAAAAAGAAACTGAAGCTTACATAATTAAAAGGTCCTCTGTGATAAATTTTGCTCTCTAGTGCAGTCTACCGTAGTGCAACATATATGCTCCTAAAAATACTCGCACTCTGCAAAGTCTAAAACCGCAGAGAAATAGGAAAATGTAGTTGGAGCTCACACTCAGAAACTTTATCAATGACACGCATGGAAAAATGGTAGGCACCTATTAAAAATAATCGCCCAGTTTTATTCATGTTAAGTGATTAAAAAATATATAAAACTAATCAATGTGGCACTTTATCTTGTATAATAATTCTCCCAGCAGTCCTTAGATGTGAAGCAAAAAAAAAAAAGGCTCAGTTAAGTCAAGTGGACAAGGGTTAAACAGGTAGTAAGAGATGGAAATGTTAGGAAGCAAAGAATCCAACTCAAATGGTTTGTTTACAAGCTCTTGCTCTGTATATTATACACAAGGCTAAGTTCTTAAGGTAATGAAAAGGAAAATGATCCAAGTACCTTTCATTTAAATGAGTTGTGACTAGAGATAATTGGTTTCAATAACAGTAGTTGGAGAGAATGAAAGATTGAATTATTGACCAAAATAGTTTGATAATACAGAGTGCTGAGCTGACCTTTGACATCTTGTCATTAAGAAGGCTAAAAAGTGTGTGCCAGTCTGGTACTTCAAAATAGAAAGAATATAATTCAGAGAGAGCCAGGTTGGGTTCAGAGTCCCTTTCTATCAGTTTTATACTTGATCTGTGTCTTATCATTATGAAATTAAATTCTAACTAGTTTGTTGGTAATACAGTTCTGTTGTGCCACTGACTTCTTAAACTGCAGTTTTAGTTTTATAAAAGTTATACTCCATTTACAGTTATTACAAAATACTTATTATGAAGTATTTCCTGTGTTATATAAAACATCTTTGTAGCTTATTTTACACCCAGTAGTTTGAACCTCCCACTTCCCCAACCCTATACTGCCCCTCCTGTCACTTTATCTTGAATAAGACCTGAAATTGGCTTATGGAAGTGTGTGCCCATTGCCTTTGCTTCTACTCACATGCTTGCCACTCTGTGTGCAAGAGAAAAAGAGGAAGAAAAAATGAGAGAAAGATGAAAAATTTGAAGAACAGAAAATAGAGAGGAAAATAATGAACTAGGCTGGGAGGAAGGGGTACAATTCAGCAGAGTGGAGGATACCCTCCAGGATGGTCTTTGGAAGCATGGAAGCTTGCAAGTTATTATGAAGTGGAAGGAGGGTTATCCGAGGTCAAAGAGGAAACAACAGCATCAGATGTAGACACATTGTGCTCCTGAGGTGTGCAGTTCTGTGTGTTTTGTGTAGTCCTACAGTGCTCATTGCAACTTGGTATGTTTTCTACATTCACCTAGAGTTTCTGATACAAAATTGTTCATAAACAAATGCAAATTTCACATTATATTTAGATCATTCTGTAATATCAGTGTCATTGAAAATTTTTTTGTTTTCAAGGCAAGCATTATAGTAGAACTGATTATAGCATATCCATTGGCTAAAGTTATCTCATTAACATTTGTGTGTATAGAGAAAGAGAAACAGGAAAGCTCGAGGAAAGTCAAGATGAAGTTAACACCGAAAGTATCCTTGTACCAAGTGTGAAGGGATGGGGGTGCTGTAGGTGGGAACTGCAAATGTGTAGTGCCCTGTAGCCAGTTCTGTCTGAATCTAGATGTGGTGAGTTTTATATCAAAACTCAGTGGTAATAGCTATTCTCCTAACGTGTATCTGTCCTGTGACTAACAGTGCTGACCACAAAGCGTGTGTGTGAAGACAGTTCTTTGAGTGTTGGCTTTGATGGCTTTTTTACTGGCCATCTTTTAAAAACTGTATCCTTTGTGAGGACACCTTTCAAACTTGGCTGCTTGCCAAGACCTTTGTTGAAGAGTAGCTGTCTTCCTGGTCACGCTGGTATATCCTAGTGTGTGCTGTTTTGACCCTAAGTTCTAAGTAGTGCTCTGGTTCATTGACTGTAGTGTGGCTATGAGTGTTAGAGGATGCAGGCATGTTCTGAATGTGTGCTTAGGTTTGTAGCCTTGACAGCGAAATGTGACATTTTCCAGAGTGCAACACCAGCACTCCTACCTCTGTTACATGAAAATCAGCAGTCACCTGGGAAACAGATGGCCCTATGAATCCATGCACATCCAAGACACATGTGTGCATGCTTGGTCGTGTCTGACTATCTTGTGACCCCATGGACTGTAGCCCACGAGGCTCCTTTGTCCATGGAATTTTCCAGGCAAGAGTACTGGAATGGGTTGTTATTTCTTACTCCAGGGGATCTTCCTGATCCAGGGATCAAACCCACATCTCTTGTGTCTTCTACATTGGCAGGCATATTCTTTATCACTGCCCACTTGAGAAGCTCACTACTGCTGCCCAATTTTTTCTTGGTTAACCACAAGCATGTATTGGGTTGGCCAAACCCAAATGAACTTTTTGGCCAAATTTAGGCATTTAGGGTTAAAATATCATCTCTGTTCATTAGACCATAATTATAAATATAACTGATGGATCTGTCTTTAAGAGTGGGTCCTTAGATAGATAATTCTGGATCAGTAGAAGTCACTTGACTTCAGAAAATAAAGAGTGGCTCGTAGTTTGAGAGTTGACTTTAAGCTTTGGTTCACTCTAATAGCTTTATGGTCTTTAGGTTTAACTATTCTGAGCTTTAGTATATTTAGAAATCTCTGAAATGGGTATAATAATACTTCCAAAGATTAGCAAGAAAGTATGTAAAAGAGCAGGCGTAGGGCTAACTGTATAATAGCTGCTAGATAATTATAGCTCATTATAATTATGTATTCAGTTCCTACATCCAGTTCTCAATAAATAATCAGTTAAAATTATAATTGTCTCAAAATACATGAGCACATGAACATTCAGTTCAATTCAGTCACTCAGTCATGTCCGACTCTTTGCAACCCCATGAACCACAGCACGCCAGGCCTCCCTATCCATCACCAACTCCTGGAGTTCACCCAAACCCATGTCCATCGAGTCGGTGATGCCATCCAACCATCTCATCCTCTGTCGTCCCCTTCTCCTGCCCTCAGTCTTTCCCAGCATCAGGGTCTTTTCAAATGAGTCAACTCTTCACATTAGGTGGCCAAGTATTAGAGTTTCAGCTTCAGCATCAGTCCTTCCAATGAACACCCAGGACTGATCTCCTTTAGGATGGACTGGTTGGATCTCCTTGCAGTTCAAGGGACTCTCAAGAGTTTTCTCCAACACCACAGTTATGAACATTATAAATTTCAATTAAGACTTGGAAGCCTTAGTTTATTTCCATGGTTAGAGGTTTAGATGTGCTTTATGCTTCTATTGGGACTGGGAACCATGACTCATTTGGTAGACGGTAAATCTGCTTTTTTGAAAAAATAGTATTTATTTATTTGGCTGTGCTGAGTCTTTTCTTCATTGCAGTATGTGGAATCTTTAGTTGAGGCATGTGGGATCTAGCTCTCTGACCAGTGACTGAACCTGGGCTCCCTATATCAGGAGCACAGAATCTTAGCCACTCGACCACCAGCTAGGAGGAGTGTTAATCTAGGGCAGTGCTCCTCAGTGTGGTCCATAGATGGATGCAGGTCCATGAACTATTTGCTGATGGTGAGCATTAAGGTAGAGAGCCTGTGCCTGCGGGCTCGGTCACTAAGTCATG